TCTTTTGACGCAAATACTAATATTTGTGATGAAAGCACCCGGTTACTCAACAAGTCATAAACTCAAAGTGCTTTGCATACTCATATTTCAAGTTGCCGTTTGATGTGAAAATTGACATGGGTCTCATGCTAACCCCCAGTTACTAAGCAACTAGAAACATTGGAGTAGAAATTAATAAATTCTTTTGTGTGCTGGCTTATTCCTTCTATTTTTTCTTTTCTTTTCTTGTCAAGTTTCCTTAGGCTTTCTAAATTACTCATGTAATGAGCTTTTTGCCAATGACTCCCAAACCAATTGGTTTTAGGGCACTAGGTAAAGAGACACCCCTAAGAGCATACTTACTCAAGTAACAAAGGCCACGAAACATTTGACTTTTTTTTTTTTTTCAAAGCAATTTCCAAGGATAATTAGACAGGATAGTCATCACAGAAACAATGGCACCTACTCAGAAGATGCATATAATTTTCAACCAAAACAATTATAAAGTCAAAGCCCTCAACTCCTCTCATCAAGGTATTACTAAATTTTGACCTAATCATCAAAGAAGAACAATATCCCTCACTTGCAACATCTATGCAACAAAATATGTATAGGCTCATTTGACTATATTCACTCCATGCTAAAAAATTAGATTCACACACATGTATCCAATACTCTAAATCTTCAAACCACACCAGAAGCAAGACACAAAAATATCCTCCCCCAAACTTAAAATTAACATTGTCCTCAATGTAAAAATAAATAAATGAATAAGAGAAGAAAAACAATACTCCCCTATCTTGCTCTTCCTGTTGTAGGCATTTAATGTGTTCTTGTAGAGCCAAAAAATTCTTGTCGTAGGTGCCTAAGATGATACAAGTGCAATAACAAGCTAACCCAGCCAAAAACTCAACGCAAATTAGTCAAAAGAAAAATGAATAAAAGAATGAAATAACTTAATGCAAAACAGAAAAATGTCAAATAACAATTTTTTTTTTTTGATGGGTTGCCTCTCATTAAGCGCTTCTTTACAGTCATTAGCTTGACTATCACTGCAAAATGGTCAAGGATCTTTCAATAAAATGGTGGAAATAAATGCTGGAAAATTACCACCTTCAATATAAATTTTCAACCTTTGCCCATTCACCTTAAAAGTTCCCTTAGTATCATGTGAAATTTCAACAACTCCATAAGGAAAAACCTTAGTCACCACAAAAGGACCACTCCATCAGGATTTCAACTTACTTGGAAAAAGTCGCAATTGAGAATTGAAAAGAAGAACCTTGTCACCCACGTGAAACTCTTTCTTTTGCACATGTAGATCATGCCATGCCTTGGTTCGTTCCTTGTAGATTTTGGCACTTTCATAAGCAGCAAGTCATAGTTCTTCCAATTCATTCAACTGCAATTTTCTATGTTCACCTGCATCTTTCAAATCAAAATTCAAGTATTTAATAGCCCAATATGCCTTATGCTCAAGTTCCACAGGAAGCTGACAAGCCTTACCAAAAACTAACCTATAAGGAGACATACCTATCGGAGTTTTGTAAGCTGTCCTATAAGCCCAAAGTGCATCATCTAATTTGAGTGACCAATCTTTCCTAGACAAGTTAACTGTCTTTTCCAAAATTCTTTTCAATTCCCTATTAGACACCTCAACTTGTCCACTTGTTTGAGGGTGATATGGAGTAGCAATTTTATGGGTCACACCATAGTTAGCCAATAAATTTTCAAATTGCCTATTACAGAAGTGTTTACCTCCATCACTAATAATAGCCCTAGGTGTGCCAAATCTAGTAAAAATATTACTCTTCAAAAATTTAACCACCACCCTAGCATCATTAGTAGGACATGCAGCAGCCTCTACCCATTTACTCACATAATCTACCGCAACAAGAATATATGCTTTGTCAAAAGATGATGGAAAAGGACCTATGAAATCTATTCCCCAAACATCAAATATGTCACACACCAAAATATTAGTCAAAGGCATTTCATGTCTCCTAGAAATATTACTAGTTCTTTGACATTGGTCACATCCACATACATAAGCATAAGCATCTTTAAATAAAGAAGGCTAATAAAATCCACATTGCAAAACCTTAGATGCTATTTTGGAGGCACCAAAATGACCACCAGCTTCTTTGTCATGACAAAAACTCAAAATTGCATCTACCTCTTCTTGTGGTACACATCTCCGAATCATTCCATCGCCACATATCTTGTAAAGAAATGGTTCCTCCCAAAAATAATGTTTAATATCAGAAAAGAACTTCTTTTTCTATTGAAAAGATAAGTTAGGAGGTAAGACATTACTCACAAGATAATTAACAAAATCTGCGTACCAAGGTAAAGAAGACAAAGCACACAAAGAAACCAAACACAATTGCTCATCTAGAAACTCATCAAGCAAAAGTTGATCATCCCCACATTCCACATGCATCTCATCTAACCTGGACAAATGATCAGCAATAGAATTTTCTACACCTTTTCTATCCTTAATTTCTAAGTCAAACTCTTGCAGCAACAAAATCCATCTCAACAACCTAGGTTTGGCATCTTTTTTAGCAAGCAGATATTTAAGTGCAGAATGATCAGTATGAACAATCACTTTGGACAAAATTAGATAAGGCCTAAACTTTTCAAAAGCAAACACCACAGCAAGCAACTCTTTTTCAGTAGTAGTGTAATTCTTTTGAGCTTCATTCATTGTTCTACTTGCATAATAAATGGTGTGAAATTTCCTATCTTTTCTTTGTCCCAAAATTGCACCTAAAGCATCATTGCTAGCATCACACATTATCTCAAAAGGCAAATCCCAACAAGGTGCAACAATAATAGGAGCATTAACCAGTTTCTCTTTCAACAATTGAAAAGCATTCATACAATCATCATCAAAGAAATATGGTGTTTCCTTAACCAAGAGATTAGTAAGAGGTTTAGCAATTTTTGAGAAGTCCTTAATAAATCTCCTATAAAAACCAGCATGTCCAAGAAAACCTCTAATTTCTTTAACTGATTTAGGAGGAGCAAGCTTTTCAATTATCTCAACTTTAGCTCTATCAACTTCAATACCTTTAGAGGATACTTTATGACCTAGCACTATACCTTCCCTAACCATAAAATGGCATTTTTCCCAATTCAATACTAGGTTAGTTTCCTCACATCTTTTAAGCACCCTAGACAAATTATGTAAGCATCCGTCAAATGAAGAGCCAAAAACTGAAAAATCATCCATAAAAATTTCCATAAACTCATCAACAAATTCAGCAAATAAAGCCATCACACATCTTTGGAACGTACCTGGAGCATTGCACAAACCAAAAGGCATTCGTCTAAAAGGAAAAGTACCATATGGGCAAGTAAATGTTGTTTTCTCTTGATCCTCAGGAGCAATAGGAATTTGATGGTAACCAGCATAACCACCCAAAAAACAATAATATTCATGTCCAGCAAGTTTCTCAATCATCTTATCAATAAATGGCAGTGGATAATGGTATTTTCTAGTAGCTTCATTAAGTTTCCTATAATTTATGCACATTCTCCACCCTGTTATTATTCTAGTGGGAATTAATTCATCATTTTCATTTTTTACCACAATTGTCCCACCCTTTTTAGGTACTACTTGCACAGGACTCACCCAAGTACTATCAGAGATAGGAAAAATAATACCTGCGTCCAACCATTTGATTACCTCCTTTTTTACCACCTCTTGCATGTTAGGATTAAGGCGTCTTTGAGGCTGAACCATCAGCTTATGCCCCTCATCCAGCAAGATTTTATGCATGCAAATCGAAGGGCTAACTCCTTTGATATCCACTATGCTCCATCCTATAGCTCTTTTGTGTTCTCGCAACACCTTTAAAAGTTTCTCCTCCTCTATTCTTGTCAAAGAAGCAGAAATTATAACAGGTAAGGTATTTGAATCACCCAAATAAACATACTTTAATTGAGAAGGAAGATCTTTTAATTCAAGAGTAGAGGGCTCCTCTTTGGATGGCTTGACTGTCACAGTTGACGGTGCATCTAAAGGCAGAAAATTTCCTCCTTTTTGTGGCTGCCTATGGCATTTTTCCCCAAGAATAGCTGCTACCTCCAAAATGTTATTGTCTGCACTATCAGCTTTCACATCCAAGGCATTAACAATGCAATTATCAATAGGATCATCTAATCTAGAAGTATTAAAATTTTCAACCACTACATTGTCTACCACATCAATCCTTAAAATAGCACTGCCATCATGATCACAATTTTTCATAGCATCAAACACATTAAAAACAATTTCCTCATCATGTATTCTAAGGCTAAGTTTCCCTTGTTGAACATCAATAAGAGCTCTACCAGTAGCAAGGAATGGTCTCCCAAGAATTAAAGGCAT